TTTGGGGGAATGGAGAAGAAACCCATTAGATGGAATTGAGTTGATTTGTGCAGAAATAAAAAAAAAACTCATCTTGATTCTGTCCGATCGGGTTTAGTTCTGATGTGAGAAAAACGAATCTCCTGGTTTTAGTTTTTTAGTAATAGAACTTTTACGATCGACCAATGTTCTGAAAACGCTTGAATTTTAAGTTCCGATTGTGGCTGTTAATGAATGCAATGGATCAGCTTTCGCAATTATCGGTATTGTTTGACAATTTCATTTTCACCTCGAGTGTGATGATATAATGCAAGATAAATACTATGGAGATTAAAAGTTCAAATGAGTTGGTTTGCAGTTTTGAAGGCTCTTCTTAAGTTGTATGCATTTGTTTATAAACCAAAAAGATTTCATTGTTTTAAGGTATTGATTTCTATCTCTGATCTGGTTTGTTTTTCAACATCTTGTCTTATTTAATGATCTCTTTACATTTGGTCTTGGTGTTGTATGTTTTCTGAAATCAAAATTTGATATACAATGGGGACTTTAAGAAACATGATCATACGTAGTTATATTGTGAAATGCATTTTGACGTCTTTGGGCTTGATTAATCACATAAATTATAAAGGATTCTTCCTGATATTCATTTTTTTTGTGAGGTTAAGATGATACAAGTGTACTAACAAAGTTTAGTCATTACCAGGTACACGATGGAGAGGCCACGTATCAGTGATCATCTAGAAGCAATCAAGTTCATCTGCAAGGACTTTTGGTTTGAACTCTTCAAGAAGCAAATAGACAACTTGAAGACAAATCATAGAGTATGTTTAGGTACTGAAACTGATCAAAATTGTTTGTGGTAATGTAGTTTTAAGAAAGGGTTTACACTTGTCTTGTAGGGTACCTTTGTATTGCAAGATAATCGTTTCCGTTGGCTTACACGCATGTCAATTGAGCAATCACCTGAAAATGGAACATCTGAAGAGCTTTCTATCATGGCTGACAACAAAGCTGTGCAAAGCATGCATCTCAATTTTCCATGTGGAATCATAAGGGGAGCTCTTTTAAACTTGGGAATACCTTGTGCTGTTTCCGCTGATCTATCCAACCTTCCAGCATGTGAGTAACCTATTTGATTATTGCTATTACCCTTTCCTAAACATTTGTTAACTAAACCTTGTTTTGGTTCCCTTATAAACTTTAAGTAATGTTAAGGGACTTTCTATTTTAGAAATCTGAAAAAGTTGTAAACAAAGAAATTCTGAATGAGCACAATGATAATGCCAGATATTTGAACTGATTTCACTTCATCTGACTGGTTCTTTGGTTTTGAACACAAATTTTGAAATTTTACTCTTGTTTGTAGTCTAATCTCATGTTTTCTCCAGGTTCATTTGTGGTTCGAATAAAGGCGTGAGGAGCATGTTACGAGAGATGCGCCACCAGTCATCTAGGGATTCGAATATTCTCTGAGTGCTAGTTGAAGAAAATTATGCGCCACCAGTCTAATCCGGAATATTCTTTGCATTTCACATTATAAATTTATAAGTGGGTGTTATTACGAGAATTAATCTTTAAATGGTGGTGATTTAATAATAATTTTTTGAAAGGGTATCTTTAGGTAAAAAAGGCCTGAAAAATAATAGTTATAAATTTTAAATCAATTATGTTAGTTTTTTTAAAATTTTATTTCAAAAATTAAATCACTAATAAGAGTAATGTTAGTATCTAGCGTTGGGAAGAAGAGTCAAGGGCTTTCAACATCATTCAAGGTGCAACGTAAATGATATTAGCAAGGATTTTTCAGTTGGCTTTCAACATGTGTGCAGTTGGTCTCTAATTCTCTAGCCTTTCCAGAGGTGTTAACATTCTCTATTTTGGTGGCTTCTTAGCCTATGGATGGATGTTCAATTCCCAGCGTGCCTTGTGTTAAGCACACATATAAACTTAACTATGTGAAAACTCAAGTTTTCCTGTTAGCCATAGCAAAGGCCCTATTACCCTCGCACGTTGACTACTTGAATGTAGTTTATATTTTTAGCACCTATTCCACTTGTGATTTTGCCGTTTTTAGGTATGTGGTTCCACAACTTGATTCTCATAGGTGATCAATTTCTTTGGCAGACCACCCAAACATATTTTAGTCAGTGATGGGGTAGAAAGCTGTTAAGTTGATAATGCTGATGTTGATTCTCAAAACTCATCCATTTTGAATGGTTGCAACATACTGTTGCATTTCATGTTTCTTTCATCAATAGCTTCATTACTCAACCTACTGCAATAACTTCAATCCAGGATGCTCTTACATGGTGCCGGAAGAGCATGGCATTGGGTACTAAAAGCTCGAATACTCATTTTCGACAGCCTCGCCCAGCAACTACGCTCGGATCTCAACCAAGAATCCTATGGTGTGATGATAATCTGTGTTATTTTTCCTCAAAATTACTGGAGAATTAGGGCTATAATATATTTGCAGTGTTGTTGATATGGTTTTTGCAGCAAAAGTTAAAAGGGGCATTCCGAGAATTGAACTCGGGACCTCTCACACCCTAAGCGAGAATCATACCACTAGACCAAATGCCCTTGCTTGACCCTGTTCAGTTTTTAAAACAAATTTCTAGTCTCTTACTTTCACGGTTTCACCAGGTTTACCTTTCTTCTCTCTCTAGTTCTTGATCTCCATTTTCATTTATTCTAAATTCTACATTAAATAGTAAGTACCTAACAATTTTACTTCAAAATTGACTATAATTTTTAATTTTTTTGTCGCATTTCATGCAAGACTCGCTTTGGTTGCCCTTCACTCTAGTTTTAACAATGCACTTTAACTGTTCGACTACGCTCTGCGAAGTTATATTTCTTACATTTTATTTCTGGTTTTAGGGTGTTGTCTGTTAGAAGATGTTGAAGCAAGTAATTCGGAAGGTTTTGAGCAGAAGGATAGTGTCAGATTCTGGTGATAATCTTATTTTGCCTTGCTTGTACTTGCCCACGAGTTCTTTCATGCTGGACATGTAAGTTTTTTTTTTCAGTTTTTATGGATACCCAATTCGATTCTCTTTTGAGATTTGCCAATCTAAACCAAACCTATTAACCATTGGTGTCCTTTGATTGTGTTCATTGCTTGATATTTCATGAAACAAAGTGTCTTGGAACATGAAAATTCTTACTTTGCAACTGAAACTGATGAATTATAACTGAAATAAGGTCATATATTCCTTGGTGACCGATAGCAAAGTAGTAACATAAGAGAAGGGTGGAAAGAACCCTCTGGGAAGTGAAAAAAACATGAAAGCTTTTGCTCCCGGTCAGCGGGAGGGGCCATGGGCTCTGACATTGTGCCTGTTGAAGAATGAGCCAGTGACTCGGCAGTGGCTTGGTCAAGGGAACTCACTGGAGCTGTAAATGAAGCAAATTTTAATAAGGCAATTGGATCTACTTTTGGACTTGGTCCTAGTTGATGTCCAGGATGAAGATTTGGGTGAAACTAAGTGGAGAACTAACTGATGTAGAAGAATTAACGAGTTGTAGTTAGGGCTGAAATGCCTCTTGAACCCTGAGTTAGCTGGTTCCCTCCGAAATGTTAGTGAGCTGAGAGTTCTCAAGCTCTTTATGAAAGTTTGATTTTTCAACTTTAAACACCTATAACCATTTATGGCTTCAGAATCAACTTGCAAGTTAATTCCTATTATACAGCAGAATCCATTGCAGTTATGTTTTATTATATCGATGCAACGCGAGACACAGAGGGTATTATAGAAAATTCGTACAAATGGAGATTCGATTAGTATTTTGCAGTGCTGATTTCTGCGGAATTCAAGACGCAATTTTTCCTCTGCTTCAGAAGATTTAACTTTCCCGAATTCAGGATCCATTGCATGTTTGTATAATCAGACTTCTTACAGGTTTTCTATTTCTTTCTCCTTTCTTTTGGAAATGTCATTTTGTCATTTCTGTTTGGTTTCGGAGAAAGAAAAAGGTAACTAACAGAGTTATTTATTTCTTTGTTGGGATTTTTCTTTTGTCTTTTATGATTTTAGGAAGGTTGGTTTTTATTGGTTTCTATTTTTTCTGGGAAAATTTATTAGTCTTGAAGATCTAATTAGATATGTGCATCGAGACGAAATGTATAAAAGATAAGTTTTGCCTTTCTGGGGTATTGAAGAAGGCGTTTACAATGATAATGAGTTATTTGGAATTGAAATTGGGATTTTTTTAGTAGATTTGTGGATAATGTGATGTTTGGTAAGAGAGAGGAAGTTGAGGGGATTCAATTTCTGCATTAAGTTTCTTCTAAATTCCAAGTAGGAGAAAAGAAGGATAAACTCTCTCCTTTTTGGCAATGTTTTCTTTATCCCATTCCTGTCTAAATTATAACTTTACAGAGTTGTATTCTTCTGCTGTGGTATCTAAGCTTAGAAAGTTCTTAATTTTGAGGGGGGGGGGGGTGGCATTGAGGAAGACATTTTAATGAAAAATGAGTAAACATTTAGAATGAAAAAATAGTTATTTAAAAATGTTGGGGAAAATGGTGGAAGGGAAGAAAAGAGTTAAATGAGGTGGTTCTACCATCTATGCCTTGTTACTCTTTTTTATGTCTCTGGATATTATGATGTTTGGTGAGAGAGAAAGTTTAGGAACTTCAATTTTTTGCAGTTAAGTTTCTTTTAAGTTCTATGTTGGAGGGGGTCCCCCTCTTCATGTTGTTTTCTTAATTGTTGTATTGCTTTGCTTTGGTGTTGACATGGAGTTCTTAATTTTTGAACCCGACTTTTAGAATGAAAATGGGTTTTTTTATAACTGAAATTGAGAATGTTTAGTAGATCTCTGAAAGCTGGAGAAAGGGAAGAAAAGAGTTAAATTAGATGACATGTTATTCTACGCTGTTGTTACTCTCTTTTATGTCCCTTGTTAATGTGATGTGGAGAGACTTCAAGTCTTTATCTCTATGTTTCTTCTAAGCTCTAAGTAGGAGAAAAGAAGGAAGAAGCTCTTCCATTTTGGTGATTTTCCTGATCCTTTTCCAAAGTCCAACTTATAACTTTACACATTTTTATTGCTTTGCTGTGGTAGTATTGATATTAAGAAGGTCATAAATTTGATCGTTACACATGCACAACTGAGAAGAAGTTGCAACAAATTGATATGCACCCATTCGTGTCCAGTTTTAAAATCTTATCTGCTTTACTGCTAATTTGACCAGGAATACAATTGGCTTCTATCACTCTGTGGGTCACTAGACCATGGAACAAGAAAATAACAAAAACGAAGGTTTGGTACGATCGCATGCATCTGAAAAGAGAAGTTCAAAGTTACCTAAGGTCAAATCTGACACTGCAAAGTCTGGCCAAGAATTTCTTGAAGACAAGAAAAACCATTGATACTTCTGAGGTTCAGAAGAGAAAGCGAAGGAAGAAGAACAAGAGTATATCAGAAAGCAGCAAAGTATCTGGAAATGATGCTGAGAAGCAAAATTCAAGAGAAGACAACCCACGAAAGGATGCTACCACCAGTATGGTGCATTTAGAGAAAAGGCAGCATATCCAGAAGATAGAAGAAAATGAAGGTTTGGCACAATCACATGCATCTGAAAAGAAAAGCCCAAAGTTATCAAAGGCCAAATTTGACATTGCAAAATCAGTTGCCAAGAATTTCTTGAAGAAAAGAAAAGCCATTGATACTTCTGAGGTTCAGAAGAGGAAGCTAAGGAAGAAGAACAAGAGTATATCAGAGAGAAGCAAAGTATCTGAAAATGATGCTAAGGAGCAAAATCCAAGAGAAGACAATCCACAAAAGGATGCTACTACCAGAATGTTGCATGAACAGAAAAGCCAGCAGATCCAACAGATAGAAGGAAATACATATCGGTCAGATGGCAAGGAAAATAGTAGGTCAAATGGAAGTACGAAAATACGAAGAAGGGGAAGGGGGATTGGTCTTTTCAATAAAAACCAGAAGAATGAAGAACAGCAGAGAGTTGAGAGAAATAGAAAATGGAATGAGCAGATGGAAAAGCACAGGAGTTCAGAGAAGAATAACAAGAATAAAGAAAATAGTGATGGTAAGGTAAAGAAGCAAGAAATAAAATGAAAGAAAAGATTGAGGGTCTGATATTTCTGTGCAATGCAAAGACCAAGGCCGATTGTTTCTGGTACCATGTAATGGGAGTATCAAATGTTAAAAAGAATCTCGTGTTGGGTATCAAACGAGGGTTTAAGCTTTTTCTCTATGATTATGATCTCAAGCTTGGGTTTCTAAGGCATCCTCCTTTGGAGGCATGAAACTTGAGCCTGAGGCTTTTGGTGGGGCTTTCCCTGCGCAGGTGTCATTTTATTACTGTCATCTTTAGTTACAACTCATCGTCATCCTTACCCAAGAGATTTGTGTATCAATGACATCCTTTACAGGTGCGGTTCTGTGTCCATGCTAATTGTTTTCCTCTGGCAGAGAGCCTTTTCAAGAAGACAATCAAGGGAAATTATAACAAAAACAACAGATTTAAAACCAAACTTACTGCTAGACAAGTGAGTAGTTTTACCTGAAAATTTGGTGTTGATCCTTTAATATCTTGGCATTAACGACATCTGAATTTTCCCTTTCAGGTTCAGAAACTCACTTAACTGTTCTGACCTGTTGCAGTTCATTCAACTGCACTGCCTGTCCGTTCTCCTTCATCAAGGGTAGCGGCTTGAATCCTTGAACACCCTGAAAATAGGGAAGCACATGATAGACCAAGAGAATCAAGGTGCGTTTCTGACAGAGAAACATCTGCTAGAGACCTTATGCCAATATCAGTCCCAGAAGCTATCCTGTTTTATCTCATGAAAGGGATCGGGAAATTGCGTATGGAGAGTTGCCACCTATACGGAGAGAGGACATTCATCGTGATTTATACCTTAATGAGAATGGTTATGGAGCTTATGGTTTTCGGGGAGAGAGAAGATAACACAAGCTTTCCGCATCATATGTCTCCTAGATTAGGAACTTTCCGTAGAGATTACGAAGAGCAGCCTTTACGTCAACCGGACGTGGTATACAGGGGATCTGTGCCTATGCGGAGAGATATAATTCTATCTGATCCTCTTTACTCGAACGAGAGAGAGTACTGGATTTACGATATGGGTGCTACACAAGAAATGCAATCAACTGTTTTTGCAGGAACTGCGAACACATCTCTTGCTGGTGCTTCTACTTTGGATTCCTATTGCTACAGACCCAAATTATAGTCGCTACTATGGTGCTTCATTGTTTGACTCTGACCTGCCACATTCAAGCAGAGAGTCGCACTTGATTGAGACTGATCATTTAAGGAGGAGAGAAAACAACCAAGTAGATGGATTGAATCCGAAATATGCCTCCCCTGTTCCTGCTTCTACATCAGTTTCACACCGTTACCTCTTTTACTGGTGGACCTTTTTCATATAGGTGAGGGTCGGAGTTCGATTATCTGCCCCTTATCCCTAGAGACTTAATGTATTTCAGTGAATGACTTCCCTTCTCCCCCTGTTATTTGCACGGTAGCTGTTGAACTTTAAAAAGTATTTGTGTTAAATAGTTTATCATGAATATTTACCACAGGTTGTTGCAAGTCAAATTTGTTTCCAGTCCTTTGGTAGCCTATCTATTCAGCTCTTTGCCGATGCATCCTTTTAGCCACGCTGTATTTATAGCATTCTGCAAACAATTTTTTTTGAACATCTCCATTATATGTTTGGACATCGTATAGAGATCTAATTTTATTTTATTGTTTTATCAAAATAGAGACCCAACCTTAGTTATTTTTTTTTTAATTTTGACCCTTTAAGGATTCTCTAAATCTAAATTAAAATGAATTCAGTTCATGGGTTGGTATTAAGTACAATTAGACTAAATAGGCAAGTTGTGATATTTTGACCCGAAACAAATAGTATCTAAAATGTCATAAAATAAATAATCATATTTATAACGTTATTTATAAAATTAAAGTCTTGTTGAAATTAATTTTATTTATTTTTAAATATAAAAATAAAATTAATATTTATAAAACTAATATATTTTAGTTGACATTAAAAATATATTCTTATAATATTTTATAATTTATATTATTATTATTATTAATATATCTTTGTAAAATAAATGAAATTAATTTACTTATCACATTTTTAATCTAAATATTATTATTTTTATTAAAAAGTGGTAATTTTTAATTATTTCAGTCTTAATTTTTTTCTTATTTCATCCAACACAATTTAACTTGAATATTATATTTTGTGAAAATATTTAAAAATTTTATTTAGTCTAACGGTTAGATGTTACACACTCTTTGAAGGTCTTTTTTAAATAGTATTGGGTAATTATAATGTAATAATATCTATTCATAATCTTTCTTACCATTGATAACACACATCATGCAAAACGCAACTGTTCGAATTCAAGACTTTTAAGGGAGAATATTTTGAAGGTCTTAAGTACAATCCCTATTGAATTCTTGAATTTTTTTTCTTAATTTATCTTTCACACTTTAACTTAAATACTATATTTCATCACAATAATTTTTGTTTAGCTTAGTGGTTTGGTATTGTATATATTCTTCAAAGGTCCCAAATTTGTTCTACCTTAAAATAAAATAAAATAAAATATTTTTAATTTTAACGATCGAAGTAAAAATATCTTAAAAATTAGGTAACCACTAGTATATTTTACCCAATAATTTATGATCAAAAACGTCTTCCGTATAATTTCATGACCGGGTAAAATAGTTTATTTTTTTACATCACGACAGTACAAATCAGATGACGTTCTTGGTTGGATCAAAGTGTGAATTAATTTTTTCTCTCTCAATTTATCTATTTTTATTTTAAAAGTAATAAAATATTTAAAATGTAACCTTTATAATAAAATCTCAAATTAAAACATTATTCTATCCATGTTGAGATTAGGGATGTGCTTGGATCGGGTCAGATTTTTAGTCAAATTGATTTGACCCGATCCAAAAAATATACACCTACCACTCGATCCGACTTTTTGAGATAAAATATAAATTCAACCCAAAATAATATATTTATTAAAAATATTATTTTTTTTTCAAGAAAAATAGGGATTTAATTGAAAAATCAATATATAGAGGGGCATTATATTAATTATTCCTAAATAAAAAGTTAAAATTATATGTTTTTCTCGGGTCGGGTTGGGTCGGATCAAGTATTTTTATCCTGAACCCGAACCCGACCCGAACACAACATCAAAAAAAACTCGAACCCAAAATATTTTTAAAAAATTTGACTCAATCGAATAAGATCAGATCAAAACCTATTGAATCAGAACATGTCGAATTCTAGTCCCATGCAAGTTACCATCAATATTTCGATTTTGTCAAGCAAATCACCTAACTATTTAAATTATTCATTCAAGTTACTTGTCGTTAACATTTAACATAGGAGATGACGTAGCTGTTAAAAAATTGGTATTAGTTTAGTACTAATTTTAATTTATTCAAATAAATTTAATTCTCTAATCAAATAGTGATTTGCTTGTACCATCAATATTTCGATTTTGTACCATTATTATTTATATGGCCATTTAATTGTTGCCTCTTTTCACTTTGACCATCAATATTTCGATTTTGTCAATTAAACCACCTAACTATTTAAATGCTTAAGACAAGTGACTTGATTGAAATATTTAAATAGTTAGGTTATTTGATTGACAAAATCAAAACATTGATGGTTAAAGTGAAAAAAGTGCAATAGATAAAGGCTTAATACAAAAATAAGTGCCCAGAGTATACCCAAGTAATATTTGTGCCTAAAGATTTTTTTCGTTAAAGATAAATACCTAATATTTTCTCTGTTAAAAAATATGTTAAGTAAAATGTGTCGTATTTATTTTATTTTTAATTTTTTAAAAAATAAAAATATTATTTAAAAAACCATTTTTATTTATTTTAATTAATACCATGTGCTCCTCTGTCCCTTCCGTTCAACGGCGACCCTCAGGGAACTTCTGCTGTGATGCGCCTAAAAAATGGCGTGACCGGTTAAACAAGTGACCGATTAAAATTTAGATTGGTTATGTTATATCATTTAACCGAAAATATTATCAAGTACAATAACATATTAGGTAGCGCTTATATAATGTAATAGGCAGCGCTTATACAATGTAATAGGTAGCGCTTATATAATAAAATAGGCATTTAACCGGAAATATTATCAAGTACAATAACATATTAGGTAGCGCTTATATAATGTAATAGGCAGCGCTTATACAATGTAATAGGTAGCGCTTATATAATAAAATAGATTTAACCGGAAATATTATCAGTACAATAACATATTAGGTAGCGCTTATATGTAATAGGTAGCGCTTATATTGACCTATTTTATAAGTAAATCGGTATATTTACCGGTAACATTGCAAATTTATCTATTACATTATAATTATTGGTTTCGATATTTTTTGGATCGATACAATTTGAAATATATCGACACTTTATGCATGCACCTCGTTGGACATTTATTCTGGAAAAAAGTATTGAGACAAACTTAAAAGGTGTTGATACATTATTTAGACTTATTTTATAATAAAACCGGTATATTTCTATCGGGTACATTGTAAATTTACCTATCACATTGTAATTATCGGTTTCGATGTTTTTGGGATTGATACTTTTAATAAATGTATCGACACTTTATGCGTGCACCCGTTTGGCATTCATTATGGACAAAATGTATCGACACAAATTTAACAAGTGTCGATACTTTATGCTGACTTATTTTCTCATAAAATCGGTATATTTATACCGGTTACATTGTAAATTTACATATTACATTATAATTATCGGTTTTGATTTTATTGGGATCGATACTTTTAATAAATGTATCAACACTTTATGCGTGCATCTCGTTTGAGCATTCATTCTGGACAATAAGTATCGACACAAATTCCACAAGTGTCTATATATTATGTTGACCTGTTTTCAAATTAACAGGTATATTTATACCGGTTACATTGTTAATTTACCTATTACATTATAATTATTGGTTTCAATGTTTTTTGGGTCGATACTTTTAGAAAATGTATCGACACATATTTAGGTAGTTATTGTACATACTAAATATGTCATGCGAATTTAATGTTGTACCCACCCTTCAACTACCACTACCAATGCCATATCCTATTGAAAGCACGACTGAAACATGTTCAATGAACCTTTACTTACATCTCCATCAACTCCGGGACCATTGAACTTGCACAACAAAATTTTGCCATAGATCATACTGATGCAGATAATGTTAAGCTAACCGAGGAATGCCATGAAGTACATAATGTTGATGAATCTGACATATTGGTTGGTCAACTCTTATCTTCACGTGATCAAGCTTGGTACTTTTATAAGGGATTCGCAAGGGAACATGGGTTTAGTGCACGTAAGGGAACAACACGGCTTGACGTGGAAGGGAATGTGAAGATACAAGAATTTTGTTGTTCCAAAGAAGGGTTTCGAGTATCAAAAGTCAATATTGTTGATCGTCAACGTGCTCATACGCCAGTCACAAGAACAGGATGCAAGGCTAGAGTCGTAGTAACAACAACAAATACAAACGATCACTGGGTTATAAGTAAGTCTTATCAGAAACATAATCATGCATTGTGCACACCTACTATGACACCATTTATGCGTTCTAATAGAGTTATAAGTAAGACTGATATCAATGAGGCAACAATATTGAAAGAGGTCGGTGTTGGCATGTCACAAGTAATGAACTATTTAACGCAGCAGACAGAGGGCTATCATAATGTTGGATTTACACATAAAGACCTCTACAATGCACTTCAAAGAGGTAAAGAAAAGGAAATCGTCAATGGGGATGTGAATGCGCTTATTGCTTACATTGGTTATAAGAAACATGATGATCCCGAGTTTTTTATGACATACTCGGTAGACGACGAATTAGGGGCATTGTATAATCTTATTTGATCGGATTCTACATCGAGATCAGATTACACATGCTTCGATGATGTAATTACGTTTGACACAACGTACAAAGATAATTTGTATGGTCGACCAATTATGCCTATTGTCGGTGTCAATCATCACCATAACACAATTGTGTTTGCCACTACCATAATCGCTAACGAGACATCCCAATATTTCAAGTGGGTGCTACAGAATTTTTTAAAAGCC